ATTATTTTTAATAAATGTTAAAATATCAAATTAATATATTTTTATGATTTTTTTTTGTTAAACATATTACTCATTTAAATATTTTGATATTAATAATAAATATTATTTTATGTTATTTGTGTATAAATGTGTACGAATATATTATTATAAGGCAAATTATGTTTATTCTAACAATTGAAGTAAATAATATATTTAAAAATGTGCTTACTCTTCACAATATTAAATTATTTTTATATATCTGCAGTGTTTAAAGAACCTARGTACTTATTCTCAGAATTAAAATTTAATGAATTATCTAAAAACAATTTATGTTTACTTTTTGACCAACATTTCAAAAGGCCTCGCACCTTATTAGAACTTCTTTGAATGATAAAGTTTTGAAATACAATTATTAATTTTTAATTGGTCCTGAAAACGGTGATTTCCATCTTATATCGTTGGGAATTAAATTAATATTAATATTACTTACTTCTTAATTGAATAGGTAATTCACTATTCACATTAGAATTTTGACGATCTACGTAATCTTTATCGACGTGGTTTGAATTTATTTCATCATTCTTAGTACCGTTTTTATTCTGAATTGGAGGTAAGCTTTTCGTTTTTACTGGTATGTCCGTGAACTGAATATGATTACTTCTTATTTTTCTTTCGATTACTTAAGAGTTCATAAATGTCAAATTAATAAAACGTTGTRTACCTATACATGATCATTAATAGAATATGTACTATGGTGATTATTCATATTTTTCTAGTTACTAGATCTTACTTAGTTGCTTTATAGTCAAACAATTATAATTGTGTTGTATGTATGTGGAATTAACGTTAAATTGATTTCACTTTCATTATTTTTATATCTTTTGGTTTTGAGATGATACATATTCGATTTTGACATTTGAATACCTTGGGGCAACAACAATATAAGTCACAATATTTCCAAAATTTGCATTTCCAAGAAATAGTTTTCCTAATTTTTATATTGGTACAACAACTTACCACTTACAAACCCGATTATTTTCTTCTGAGTTATCAAACATTCTGTTAATTATATTTACTATGGTAACAAACGCGAAAACGAATTTTAAAATGCTCAACTTGAACGATTTCAAACATGAACTTATCTCGTTGTTGCCCCAAATTTTTCACTGGCTACTACTACGAAAATTKRTCTTAATATGTTTTTTACTTATTTTTAAGTGCTTTATGAAAAATTTTATTCATTGGAGAAGTCTTATTTTTTACTCTTGTCAGTTCTTGTCCAGCGTTTGTCACGGATAGATGTTATTTCGTTGTGCTTCGTTATCGCTGTTTTATTTCATACGCGCCTTAGTCAAGTGGTTATCATCATTTTAAAATTACATTTATAACTACGTAAAATATGTCA